ACACTTTGTTAGGTGAGATATCAGAATTTAAAGGCATCACCAGGCGTCGCCCCTACCATGTAGCAGCCACAGACTCAAGGTGGTGGTGAGTCGGGGCTGGGGGTGTAGAAAGGAAGGGGGTTGGAGAGAGCCTGAGGAATGCCAGTGCGTAAGGGTGGACTGAAGGAGACCAAGAAGGACTGGCTAGAGAGGTAGCCAACAGCCAAGAGCTGGCCCTGGACAGAGGGAAGAGGGCTGTGAGGGGAGGCAGCAAGCCCAGGATTGCAGGACCAGGGAGTGTCTCGGGGAAGACGGCGTCGCTAAGAGAGGAAGTTCGGTGGCCTGGAGAAACCCAGCTTCCCCGTCGGTAGCCCTGTGGTCATGGCCAGTGCTGAACTCTCTGAGCCGTGATTCCTCGGCTGGGGGTGATTGTATTACCTCCTAGGGTAGCTGGGGCGATCAGTGTTATAACAGAGACAGTTAGCCCTGTTTCTGGCACACATTAAGTACTTTATACAAACTGCTCCCCCGGGAGGATGGTGGAGAGGAGGATGAAGATGATTCTAGTGATACAGACAGTATTGAAGACCTGCGCCAGGTGAGTCACTGATGGGAGGGGAGGTCCGGGGGCAGTGAGGATGCTGGTTCTGCATGGAAGAAAGTTGGGACAGAAGTTGTTAGGCCTGGAAGTAAGGGGGATTTCCACTTGAAGCCGGGAGAGGGGTGAGCATGATTGGGTGCTGATGGGATGCAGTCCCCAAAGCGGGGGAACCGGTGGGCCTGATGGAGGGTGCCAGGTGAGGCCCCTCGAGCAGACCCCAAGCTGAGGGTTCTTGTGGACTTTGTTTATTGAGGGAGCGCTCTCAGGAGAAGGGGGCTGCAGGGATCAGGCTCTACAGAGGAAGGAGCCCAGCAAGGACTGGCCTTGGGCGCGGGGCGCTCTGGGGCTCGCCTGCACCGCAGGGAAGGAGTTTTGTGCCCCTGTGTCAGTCCAGCAGGGGTTGAGGTCTGCTGCGGGGTGGGCCGTGGGGTGTGGGGTGTCATAGCCTCTGGAGGAAGGCAGCTCCCGTTTGGCAGTGACACTTGTGTGGAGAAGGGGACAGGGGCCACATGGGCGCAGCGGCATGGTGAGAGGATCTGGGTCAGGCCCTCGAGCGCCTACGCCGGTGATATCCTCCGACCTCACATCAGAGGCATGTTTTCTACTTTGGGGAGATTAGGATAAAAATCTTCAATGCCCTAGAAAATCTAGTATGTGTAATGGCTGTACCCACGTCTTGTTGGATTGTATCTATTAATAACCAGCCATATATTGTCTTTATGTAGGGGTCTGTCTCCCTAATTAGCTGTGAGGCCCTGCAGAGCAGTTGTGTGTGGGGGGAGGGGGGCGGGGGGCGGGCTCTCTCATTCCCAGAACTCTCCTGTCTGCTTATGTCCGTCACAGAGCAGACATTCATGAAAGGCCTGACGCCCATTTATTGAGAATATTTTTGTAACCAGGAGTGAAGTGGCCCAGAGTCCCACCCACCCTCCATGGTGACCCTGGACTCACTGAGCTAAATTTGACATCATTCCCAGATCACACCCAGTTCTGCTCTTCTCTCTTTAATTTTATTTAACAGGACCAACAAGCATTTGATTTTTCTGTGTGCAAGGTGCTGATCTAGTTATTAGAAATAGAAATAGAGACATGTACAAAAACGATAGTTCTAAAGGAGGCCTTCTGAAGCTCCTACTCCAGTGAATGGGGGAAAACTGCTCATAAGTTACAGACCTCAGTTATGTCGTGCAATGTGAGGAGAAAAATTTGAAATCAGGAAAGATTGTTTTTAGGTAAAATATGTGATTATTGGACTTTAAAATGCAGTGAAAACCGATAATCAAATAACAGGATTTTCTCCCCAAATCCAAGGGAGACATTAAAGAGCTCAAAATTATGACCGCAAAGATAAAAGACCTGATGATTCAAAATGGATTTTTAACAGGAAAATTCTTTTTAAAAGGCCAATGGAAAAGGGGCAATAATCCAAAAAGTAACCATAGAAAATAACACTTATCTGAAAAAAGTGGGAATTATTCAACTCAAAAGAGCTTACCAAGCATCAGACAAAATTAAATAAATGCGGCCTACATACAAAAATAGCCTCATGCAAATTTTTCTTATTTCAAAGGAGCTTTGGGTTAAAAAAATTACTTAGAGAGGCAATTACCTTTGATTGAGAAATGAATTAAAATAGATGAAATATGGGAAATATATGGTATAAAAAAAACGCAGTGGTGTGAGCAATGAAAATAGCAAAATCCAAAGTTAATGTCAAAGTACTGTTGTTATCATCATAGTATGAAACATAATATAACTGTCAGAATAATGATTGAAATAAATTATTTACTGAAAAGCAAAAAAATATTCATCTGGAACCTAAAACACTGATAGAGAGAAAAATTAAAAGCTTAAGTTTTCTTCTTACATGAGGAATTAGAGAAAAATCACTAGATAAAATTTGATCAACAAAGGAAAGATCGGGGAAACTCAAAGAATCAAAAAAACAAACTGTAATATCTATGAACAAATGATTCTATCTTTATAATAAACTAGAGGCTTGGTGGACAAAATTCGTGCATAGGTAGGGTCCTTAGGCCTGGCTGGCGATCAGGGCCAACTGGGGCCTTCCAGCTGCCTGCCGGGGCCTTCCTTCATTCCACGCTGCCCCCTGGTGGTCAGCACACTGCACATCATAGCGAGCGAATGAACTCCTGGTCTCCGGGTCGAACTCCCAAGGGGACACTTTGCATATTAGCCTTTTATATATATGACTAGAGTCCTGGTGCATGAATTCATGTTGCAAGAGGGCACAGGCCAGGCTGAGGGACCCAACTAATGCACGATTGGGGCCGGGCAGGGACTGACCGGCCGGGAAGGGATGCGGAAGGTTGGCCAGTTGGGGAGGGACCGAGGGAGGGCTCCAGGGCGTATTCAACCCATCTTGCTCAGTCCCAATCGGCCAGACGCCAGGAGCAAACTAACCTACCAGTCAGAGGGCCTGCCCCCTGGTGGTCAGTGCACGTCATAGCAAGTGGTTGAGTGGCCTTAGATATCATTAGCATATTACACTTTGATTGGTTAAACAGTTGACAGTCACCGGACAACTGAAAACTTAGCATATTAGCTTTTATTATATAGGATATGAATGGATTAAATTTTCTGATTTTTAAACGATATTTTTATACATTGGAAACTGTTTTACTTACATATCCTTGTTTATTCTTCTACCATTTTATTCTGTACTTTCAAGGGGAATTTTATTTGGATTATTTGTGTTATTTATGCTTTCTTTGCTAGGAAGGTAAAGGAAACTTGAGGAAAAAAAGATTCAGAGAAGATCGAATCTCATCTAGCTCGTTAAACTCTTAAGAGATTGTGGACTTGATAGGGAATGACTATGTCCTATCCCAAGTCTGATTCAAAGAAGGAAATAGCCAACTAATGTTACATCTCCAATTCTCGCCAATTGTGCCCTGTGCTGCTGCATAAACAACTCTCATTCCCTCACATTCTCAAGAAAAGAGGCAGCTGGGTTGTTTTACCTACGAGGAGCGGAATCCTCCCCTCCCTTCCTTTCTCCATCCTTTAACAAATATTTTTAAAGTACTGACCTACTGCGTTCCAGGCACCACCGAAGACACTAGGGATACAACAGTGAACAAGTCTTCTGCTCATCGAGTTTCCAGAGGGGAAGAGAGATGATAAACAGATAGATGGACAGCATAATTGTAGCTTGAAATTGTGAAGGAAACAAACAATATGATGATGGAACATAAAGGTAGGGGGTTAGGATTTTCAGACAAAGTGGTCAAGGAAGGCTTCTCTGAGGAGGTGACATTCTAATTTAGACCTGAAAGATGAGAAGCCACATGCAAAGAACTGAATTAAAAGTACAACTAAAATGAGAGGGAAGCAACAGTGACAGATCTTTAAACATTAGAGAAAGGAATCAATAAAGGTTAAAATGATATTAAAGAAATAGAAAACAGAGAAGGATTAGAGAGATCAAAAAAATTGTGAGATTTGATTCTTTTGGGGAGAAAATAAAAATCCTACATCATAAAATAGAAAACCCATGAGTCTGCTTAGTAGAGAAAAAGTGAGAGGAAAATGCAGATACTTGAGATGAGAAATTAGAAAGAAAATAACCACAGATGCAGAGAAAATAAAAACAATTGAAAGAATATTCAAATCGGTATGCCTTGCTGAAGTGTGTGTATCTCTAATGTTAAAGCAAAAAGTATACACTATTCTCAACATGTACTTAGTATGAGAAATGCCTACCTGTAAAATCAGTAGTTTCCTTGTATCCCCAAAATAACCAGTTAGAAAATATCATAGGGAATAATTAATACAAATATTACTGAGCTACAGGAAGAAAAATGCAAAACTTATTAAGGGATTTTTTTGTTCTGTGTATTTAACAAACCCTTATACATACAATGGAGGGCTTACTATGTGCTAGGCTCATTTAATCCTTAACAGCCCTAAAAGGTAGGTTTAATTATTACCCAGACATTTCAGATGAAGAACCAAGGCACAGAGAGGTTAAGTCACTTGGCCAAAGTCACCCAGCGTATAAGTGACTGAACCAGGATCCCAAACCAGGTCAGCTTCCAGGGCCTGTCCTTTGCTATCATGCTGCATAGTGAATAAATGCAGAGACGTACCATGTGCCAGGAGGGAAGACTCAGTCTCATAAAATGATTCATTCTCAGCTGGACCAAGCGCTCCAGCGAGGGCTGAAATGCTGATCATTTGTCCAGGCTGAATGTCAACAGAATGGCAAACTGTCAAGATGCCAGGCCCCCCATGGGTGCACCAAATCATGCAGGGCACTCACCTATGAGGGATCCACCGGGAAACCACCCTCCACTTCTCCCCTACATGCCCCTCCCCTGGGCCCCCGCAATTCAGATATGAAGATGGGGCAGGATGGGTCCTTTCTAATTCAAAATGCCCTGTCCTCCTCTCTCAGATCCAGGAGATGGTCCACTCAGAGGTTGCTGCCTATGACTCGGGCCGGCCAGGGCCCCTGCTCGGTCGCCCAGCGATGCTGGCCAGCCACATGAGTGCCCTCAGCCAGTCCCAGCTCATTTCTCAGATGGGCATCCGCAGTGGCATCGCCCACAGCTCCCCGTCGCCCCCAGGGAGCAAGTCAGCGACTCCCTCTCCCTCCAGCTCAACTCAGGAGGAGGAATCGGAAGCGCATTTCAAGGTAGGTAGGGTGGCCATGCAAAGCCTTGGGATGCCCTCCTGTCAGCAGGTAGACGGGCCCTGCATGGAAACAGGCATCACCTACCAATAGAAAAGATGCAAGAGTCTAAACAGACCCTTTGCTGGAAAACAAGGAGGTAGAGGATTTTGGGAGAAAATTAAGTCTTATTCCTGAATGGCCAGTGGGCCGTTTCAGTGGCAAATTCTGGCAAAAATGTGTGGTCCAGCAGAGAGCGCCTCTGGGCAGCACTGACCTTTGGATGGGGCTCTAAAAATGACCCCTCCATTGGGGACATGACCCCTGCACACATGAGGATGCGAGCTCACCAGCTGCCCAGGCTCTGGCCCTGGCCAGGCTTTGACACTGACCAAGTCTCCTTCCCTGTTGGGGAGCATCCGGTTTAACTGGGGCAGGAAACAGGCCCAGAAGGGCCAGCGATGGACGTGCTTGCCGGGAGTCTCCCAACGAGCTGGTGGCAGAATCAAGACTTGATCCCACACGTCCTGCCCCTTTCTTCTGTCCACATGGTTGCCCCGCAGAGGCCTGGGCAGGAGCCATGGCGCCCATGCCATCTGGCAGACACCCTGACCTCCTGGCTGGGGTGGGCGCCTCTGGATCCTGGTCCAGCTCCATCACCACGATAACTTGGTCTCTACCACAGGCCAGGCAGGGGTGGTTTTCCTTTTCTTTTTTATTGGGAAAACATTTCTAAAACAGTTCCCGTGGGCCAGCGTTCTAAGCGCATAAGTATTGATGCATGTGATCCTCCTCACAACTCCCTATGGCAGGTGCCATGATTATCTCCCATTGGCAGATGGGGAGACTGAGGCATGGAGAGGTTAAGTCACTTTATGTTGATTTATTCTTCATTACTGATTGGGATATTTTATCCTCGGTAAAGGTTAACTCAAGGAAAAGGTGATGGGGTGTACATGAGTTCTGTCTGATTATAAGGCGGATTGATTTCTCCCTGTAGAGATGCAAGTGACTTCTGTCCAGCAGAGAAGATGAAACGAAGTCCTGAAAGTGATCCTTTTATTACTCTACCTATAGGGCACTAGCCAGTTTCTCTCTCTCTGAATCAACTTGACCATCATGCTGATTGTCATTAATGAGTTAAACAAAAAAAGTCCAGGGCTCCTGTCCAGAATGTGTGTCTGTCTGTCCGTCTGTCTGTCTTGTCTGCCTGTCCATTGCCTCCCCAACCCGGGGAGTGATTGGCCCCGCAGTGTGGCCCAAGCTTCCGTGTTCAAACCTGGGATGGTCAGTACCTGTGTGCGAACAGGGCCTGCCGCCCGTGAGTGGGCCTGGTGAGCCTACGGCTGGGGCGGGGCCCCTTTGGCAGGAGTCCCTGGGCATCTCAAGTTTCCTGACTCCTCTCACCCTGGCAGATGTCGGGAGAGAAGAGACCCTCAGCTGACCCGGGAAAAAAGGCCAAGAACCCAAAGAAGAAGAAGAAAAAGGACCCCAATGAGCCACAGAAGCCAGTGTCCGCCTATGCGCTCTTCTTCAGAGACACTCAGGCCGCCATAAAGGGACAGAACCCCAGCGCCACCTTCGGGGACGTGTCCAAAATCGTGGCCTCCATGTGGGACAGCTTGGGAGAGGAGCAGAAACAGGTGAGTCTCCATCTCTTTCCGGGCCGTAGCCTTGAGGCTTTGGGGTCCCAGAGCCAAGGACAGACTTGAGAAGCCTAGAACTAGGGGCTTTTGCTGGGCTTGGTTTGCCCATCTGTGAGATGGGAAGCTAGGTCCCTTCCAACTCTGCTGTTTCCCAGCTGTGTTCACTGGCGACTTAACTGTCCTGGGCCTCTGCCTCCTTATCTGTTAGGTAAGCGAGAACATGTCAGTCCATCTTGTCCTCCAGCTCTCAGAGTCTGGGGTCAGACCAGAGCTTTCCTATACCCCTGACCATGTGCCTGGGGCCCTCTCAGGGGCTTCCAGAGGAAACTGGGAGTAGACAGGGCTCACAGGCGAAGGCCCCCAGCAGTGTGACCTCAGGCTGAACACCTAACCTCTCCCCTGGCTGCTCATGTCTTGGATCTTTCAGGCCTACAAGAGGAAGACCGAAGCCGCGAAAAAGGAATATCTGAAGGCTCTGGCAGCCTACCGGGCTAGCCTGGTCTCCAAGGTAACCCCTGGGATCCTAGGCACAGCCTGTAAAGTGCGGGACCACTGAGGGGTGGAGCAGGCACTGGGGCCCACGGGAAAGGGTGGACACCGAGGTCACTTCTCCAGTGCACCTACTATGTGCCGGGCTCATGCTGGCCACTTGACGCGTATCTCGTTTCATTTAATTCTTCCAACAAGAATCCAAGACTCAGAGAGGTGAAGCATCTTGCCTGGAATTATACAGTGTGTTAGGTTGCTGTACTAAGAGTCAAACCCAGATTGGCCACTCTTCAAATTCGGCCTTCACCCCTGACCACACTGCCGGCCTCCTCGGTCAACACCAGCACTGCAGGCAGGAGGCTCAGGATGGCGGTGGACATGTGGCCCAAGTGGGGCAGGGCTGTTGTCTGGAAGCTATTACAGAGGACGTGGCAACTGGGCTACGCCATAGAGGGCCAAGGAGAGAGGGTGCTCCAAGTCAAGGGAACAGCACATGCGAACGCACAGAGGCTGGGCAGGAGCAAAAATAGAGGATGGCCCCATTGGGTGGTGCTGGCCTCACTGGCCAGACTGCGGAGCATGGGTCCCCCATCGGCAGGGGAGCCCCAAGGATTAAAGCAGGGCTGGTTGGATGGTTAGAGCTAAGTGCACTAAGGACCCAGAATTATCTGTTAGTCTACAGATGTCCCCTGAGGGGCCAGAAAGCCAGCCAGGGGTCATGTCAGGGGGTTGAAGAACCTCCTGGTCTCACGGCCCAAGTCTGGTTTCTCCGTCTTCTCCAGAGTGACCGGTGTCTGTCCCCTTCCAGAGCTCCCCGGACCATGGTGAGACCAAGGGCGCCCAGGTGAACCCGCCGGCCAAAATGCTCCCGCCCAAGCAGCCCATGTATGCCATGCCAGGCCTGACCTCCTTCCTGACGCCCTCGGACCTGCAGGCCTTCCGCAGCGGGGCCACCCCCGCCAGCCTAACCTTCCCGCTCAGCCCCCCGCTGCACCAGCAGCTGCCGCTGCCCCCTCACGCCCAGGGCGCCCTCCTCAGCCCACCTGTCAGCATGTCCCCAGCACCCCAGCCTCCTGTCCTGCCCACTCCCATGGCACTCCAGGTGCAGCTGGCGATGAGCCCTTCACCGCCAGGGCCACAGGTAAGCAGGGCTGAGTAGAAACCTGCCCTTCCGGGGTCCCTGTGGAGGCGGGCAGCTCGGGATGTTAGATACTAGCCCCACCGCTCACCAGCGATGTAACCACAGCCTGGGCACCTTACCACTCGGAGCCTCAGTTACCATGTCAGTGAAATGGGTCTGGTGCTCCTTATCTGTCATGGACTCGCGGGGGCAGGGAGTTGACAAGCTGCCAGATAGATTGCTCGGATCCTTAGATGTTCCAGGCCCCCCTCCTCTCATCCTCTGTCTATTGCTGTCTGTCTGGCCTGAGGGGCTGCGGCCACGGCGGTTTCTGCCAGGTCAGCCCTGGCCCTGGCTCTCCCCAAAGCCTTTGAGGCCTGACCCCAGTAATGGTGCCACAGACACTGTTCTAAGACTTTTGTGCGGTCACTCAGCCCAGGAACAGATTGGGAAACTGCCCCCAAAAAGGAAAGGCCCTGAGTGCAAAATCCTTCCCCCACGTGGTGCAGCCAGGACCGGGCTGAATTCTTTAAAGGCGCTCCGCTGGGAAAAGGAAAAGCATGCCATGCCGGGCAGAGCAGAGACGTGTGCGAGCGGAGGGCGTGCCCTGTGAACACCACGGGCACAGGCAGTCCCCGTCACACCCTGGCTGCCTGAGACACGCACCCGTCCTCTCTCCTTCGCTCACCTGCCTCCTCCTCCCTCCTCGCCAGGACTTCCCTCACATCTCCGAGTTCCCCGGCGGTTCCGGATCCCGCTCACCTGGCCCATCCAACCCCAGGAACAGCGGAGACTGGGACAGCAGCTACGCCAGCGGGGAGTGTGGCATCAGCACTTGTAGGTCGGTCCTCGCCCCGTTCACGTGGGTGCTGCCCTAGGCCTGGGATGACGGGACGGGAAAGAGCCGGGAGGGATGTGGTGGACAGGTGGCCCTCTCAGCTGCCGGTGCCCACTGCCCCAGCCCTAGCTGTCTGCCTCCGGATCCTCACCCTGCCATGCCCTCTGGTGAGCAAGCAAACGTGGCATGTGCCCCCCTTTCTGCCGTGCCTGGTGAGAGGGTCTACCTGGGTGGGCTGGCAGCTCAGCAGTGATGCCCTCCCCCACCCTGAGAGGTACAGCTCCTCCCACTCAGCCCTCCCCCAGAGCCAGAGCACTGGGGGGCGGGGTCTTGACTGGGCCCTCACAGCATGTCAGAGCTTCCCCCCCACAGGGAGGCCAGACCCCCGCAGTGCCCTGGTTTATGTTTGCATTTTTATTGAGGCGTCATTGATGTATAACATTGTTAGTTCCAGGTGTACAATGATTCGATATTTACCTGTGTTCTGAAATGGTCACCACAGTAAGTCCAGTGAGCATCGTCACCACACATGGCTATAATTTATTTTTCTTTATGAGAACTGTTAAGATCTACTCTCTTAGCGCCTTTCAAACACGCAGCACAGCATTGTTAGCTGTAGTCCCCGTACCGTGCGTTACATCCCAGCACCTTGGTATAACTGGAAGCTTGTGCCTTTTGACTCCCTCCGCGATTTGGCCACCCACCCCAGCCTCTGCAACCACCGGTCTGCTCTGCGTATCCATGAGCTTGTTTTGTTTTGTTTTTTTGGGGGGGTGTTATTTTTAGATTCCACATATAAGTGAGATCCTATGACACTTGTCTTTCCTCCTCTGACTTCTTTTACTGAGGATAAGGCCTTCAGGGGTCATCTATGTTGTCATGAATGAGTGCCCTATTTTAACATTTTTTAAAAATTTAAATTTTTTTTATTTAAGAAAGAGAGGAAGGGAGAGAGAGAGAGACATTGACTTGTTGTTTCACTTATTTATTAATTTATTGGTTGATTCCGGTATGTGCCCTGACCGGGGATCAACCCCGCAACCGTGGTGTAACTGCACAGCGCTCTAACCAACTGAGCAGCCCGATTAGGGCATGAGGGCCCGGCTTAAAAAACACAGAAAGCACCTGCTCGCCTTTAATTCTGTTTGAAATTTACAAAAGAAACACTGACTTAACCTAGAGTGATGGTGGTGTTAGAAGGACAGACACACTGCCGCCACCTCCCCAGCACTGAGGGGGTGGGGCCTGCTGGGATCGCAGGAGGGCTGCATCCAGGGTCGGGGTGCAGGGCAGGTGAGCAGCTGGCCCAGTGTCCAGGCCCCCCGAGAGCCCATGGCGCCGGGTGGGGTCACGTGAGCTCTGACAGCCCCTCCTCTCTCCCACAGCCTGCTCCCCAGGGATAAATCTCTCTACCTCACCTAACCCCACCTCCCTCTCCTCCCTGAGGCTGCTGGAGGGGCCACAGCAGGAAAGAGGCCTTGGCAGGAAGCAGGGGACCCGAAGAGAGAACAGTGACACGCTAATGCCCCACGGCTGAGTCTCTTCCTCGACCTCTTACCAGACTCTGCAGAGGCCGCCCAACGCCCGCCGCCAGCCCAAAGAACCTGCAGGCACCTCCTGCCCCCTGACCGCTTGCTCCAGGGCTACTGTGGACCCCACTCCTCGTCCTGCACACCGTACCCTATGTCTGGATGTCTGGGCCCAGCCCAGCTCATGTGGGCTGCCCCTGCAGGGGTCGCTTGCCAACAGACACCCACCCAGATGCCCGGGGCAGGGGCCAGCCCGGCCACAGACGCGCACATATGGTGTGACAGCCTGAACAAGAGATTATGAACCCATACACTGTTGGCTTTGTGTGAGTAGTTGACTACGTGTTTTAGAGCTGTGCTGAACACATCTGTAAGATTATTTTGGGGCGGGGGGGAGGAACGTAGTTTCCTTTAAGGTCAAAAGCGTTTTCTATGACCCTTAGCACATGTTTTTTAAGTTTTATCTTAAGGGAGACGTGCACAGAGCGGCCGCCAAACCGTTCCATCGTCTGTACAGCATCGAGCCGGCCGTTCCCGCCACACTCGGAGGCTTTGCGCTTTTTCTTTTAACCACACGCCCGTCTATTTAAAATTGCCAACGACGACTTTTGTCTATTTATGAAGAAGACCTGAGGACAGAAATGCAGTTGATCAGAAAGTGTGTGCGGTTTGAGGCTTGGTTGGGGTTTGGGTTCCTCGTGTTTGCAGCTGTTTCCTGGCCCTGGCGACCGCCTGGCTCAGTGCCCAGTGCTTCTCTCAGATTCCTTTATAATAAAACTTCTGAAACGTTGAAAACGGGTCTGTCTCTTCTTGCGCTTCATGAGCCAGGGCCAGGCCTCCCAAAGTGTGGCATTCGGCGGTGGCTTTGCCAGGACAGAGCCCCTGATGCCAGTCAGGTTCGGGTAAAGTCTCAGCTGCCCATTCACCCGGCCCCGAGGGTGTCTGTTGATGACGGGGCCTCTCTGGCCTCAGTTTTGCCATCAATGAAGGAGGATAATAAGGGTGGGGACACAGAGGGTTCCTGTGGTGATGAAAATGGGTGTGGGCAGGGTGCTGGCCACACAGGTAGTGCTACTTTAAAAAGAGTAATAATTCTGTCACTTTAGCTGTACCTGGAACAAACAGCAATGCCTGGAATGGAGGAGCTGTTAGGAGGCTGCAGGTATTGGGCCCACCACAGCTATTTTGAGGTGACCTAAACAGAGGAGCCCCCCACTTCTCTGGCAGCTCTCGGGGCCTCTCATCCTCCAATCATGTAACACCCCCCCCTTCAGCCCCAAATGGGGTGCAATTTCTCTGTGAGCCTTTTCCTCACTGGAGGGCATTTTGCAATCCACATTGGAAAAAGAAAAACGAGCCCTGGTGGGGTAGTTCAGTGGTTAGAACGTTGTCCAGATACACCAAGGTTTAGGGTTCCATCCCTGGTCAGGCCACATACCAGAATCAATCCATGGCCCCAGCCGGTTTGGCTCAGTGGATAGAACATCGGCCTGTGGACTGAAGAGTCCCGGGTTCAGTTCCAGTCAAGGGCACGTACCTTGGTTGCAGGCTCAGTCCCCAGCCCTGGTTGGTCCACGTGTGGGAGGCAACTAATGGATGTGTGTGTCTCCCGTCAATGCTTCTCTCTCTGTCTCTCCCCTTCCCTTCCACTCTCTCTACAATAATCAATTGGACAAATATCCATTGGTGAGGATTTACAACAACAAGAGAGAATCAACCCGTGAATGCATAAATAAGTGGGTAATACATTTATGTTTCTCTCTCTCTGCCTCTAAAATTAAAAAAGAAAACCTAACCAACAGACAAAGCTGTCATGGCAGTAACATCTTTGCAACATGAAGCATAAATATTTCATGGGGTTACAATTCCCTTCCTCTGAGGAGCTTGTCAGAAACGCGATGACGCCTTAGACAGTTTAATACAGTGGGGCCTTGACTTACGAGTTTAATTCCTTCTGAGACCGAGCTCATTAACTCAAATTACTCTGTCAACTCAATGCAAAAAATCGGCCAAGAGACAGCTGGTATCTCAAACTCGTTAGTTGGGACACTGGTAAGTCAAGGCCCCACTGTACTCGACTCCTGCTTCTGCACTGGAGGAAACTGCCCCAAGCAACACGATGCGGGCTCTGGGTTCCTGCCCCAGAGGCAGAGCCCGGCCCCCAGCGCCTCGCCAGGAGCCCAGGAGTCCTTTGGAAACGTCCAGGAGCAAGGCTGGCCTCTCCGCTGCCAGAGCTGCTCAGAGAGGCCACGCTGCATCCGAACACCCGGCCTACAGAGGGCAGGGGATTGCCAGGCGGGTGCGTCAGGTGGCCCCAGGAAATGGGAACAGAGTGAGGGGTCCGTGGAAAGTCCAAGAGCGCTGACTTGGGGGCCGTGGAATAAACTTCGCCCCCCCCACCCAGACCCCTTCATTGCCAGTGCCCATCCCGGCTCCTGCGTGTTGGCTGTTGACTGTGCACAGCCGCCCACTCTGTCCGGTCCTTGCCCTTGATGCCTTCCCCCCAGCGCTGCCCCCAGCTAGTGACCAAACAAAGGAGCAGCCAACTCCACGGTGCCAGTCCCACTCCAGAGCCCCCCAGGGTCAGGCTGCGGCCACTCGCCTCCTCCCTCGCCTTCTGCGCGCCCCTCCCCATACGTAAGTAACTTGGCCAGAACCCCCGCCTGGCCTCTGCCTATTTCTGGAGAAACCTGTGATACCAGCAGAGCGCAGTGGGGCCATGTCATCGGTAATGTCCCTCTCTCACTGGCCCTACCTGCAAACACAGACTCCGCCCCTGAAACCAGCCCACACCTGGCCCGAGGGAGGTCAGGTCCCGCGTGTTCACAAAGCAGCCTCTCCCTGGGAAGGGTCTGCAGCTTCCTTTCTAGGCCATGCGGGGCCGGTGATGGCCACAACCCAGGGAGCCGCGAGGGCCCAGGGTGAAAGCACTGAGCCCACCGTGAAAGCACTGAGACCTCTGCCACAGATGGCCACCCCTGCACCCCCTCCCCCCGGGCCCTGTGCTCCCAAAGCTGCCACCCTGGGTCCCACAGGCTCGTAAAAGACCAGGTACCACGGCGGCTGTGGCATCCCCATTTGCCAAGGCCAGGCTGTGGCCTGGGCCCGCCACACCTCAGGGCACATGCTCCTGTCTGGACCCTGATGGTGCCCCTCACGTTGCGGGGCCCTCAGGTCCTGCCTGCAGACCGCCCACGGTCCACAGAGCTGGTCCAAGGATCAAAACCACGTGCCCTTCCCGTTGAGGGCACCTGCTTCAATTCCTCATCTCACAGCTCCCCCCACACAGGCCTGGGAACCCTCACAGGAGGCACAGCTTGGGTGAAGGCCGAGCCGTCCGCCCCAGGAGGAAGGCTTGGATAACCCTAAAATCACCCAGCCATCATCCCTTCCGTACGAATTTCCACATCCCACCAGGAAGTTTGAAAGAACTCACATGCAGAAAAGATCTGACATGCTATTACAGGTTCAAATTTTTAAAAAGTGCCCAACACATCAGTTGTTACTTAGCTCTGCTCCCCAAATTGCCTGAAACTAATAACCCCAAACCCACCAGATGCTGGAGAGCAACCTTTCATTGAGAAGGG